AAGGCGCAGCGATGTGTTAATTGGCTAGTATATGATAGTTAACAGGATTATGATAATTTAAGACAAAGGATATTAGCGAACGAGACACAAACTCAAGTTAAGATTGTATCAAAAATATAATACGATAGGGTAGCAATGTAACATGAAACAATTCTAAAAAAAACTAAAAACAGACAAAAGTAGATTAAACTAGAAAGGTCCGAGTAAGTAACGAGAACATAAGGAAGTATTGCAATAATTATAATATCGTATGATGTGGAAGAGAACAAAAATAAACCAAGAGGTAAAATAACGGAGGATATCACCAAAGTGACGATCAGACAGTAGGTTATCGGAATAGTAGATATTATTACACATAACTCTGTAATCACAGGTTATGGACCTAACGTAAGAAATAGAAGATAAAATTTATAAGAACATAATACTTTCTTGTTAATATCTGTTTAATATCAGATATTAAACAGCTATAAGGACTGTCCTAATATTTAATGTATTATTGTTCTAAATCGATTTTCTTGTGCATTTTAAAGTAATTACTATTTTAACGGCAATAAGCCACAATTAAAGGTTAAAATAAGTTTATTAATGTTTTAATTACACTTCGGAAATCGTTCTCAAAATAGATGTTTTTTTAATGTTTTTTTTTTTTGTATTTTGAGAATGATTTCCGATGTGGAAATTGAACAAACAGTAAACTTATTTTAACTTTCAATTGTGGCTTATTTCTGTTAAGTTTTTCCTACTACCAAAAATAATTTAACGTATCCTTATGCTTTGTTGATTACGAAAAAGCTTTACATAAAGTAAGACATGAAAAACTAATATCAATATTTATGAACAAGCGCATTGACAGTAAAATTATAAATATAGTGCCAACATTATATTGGAACCAAAGTGCCATAATTCAAATTGATGGACGCGACTCAGAAGAAATGAAGATCTGTAGAGGAGTTAGATAGGGAGGTTATCGCCACTTTTGTTTAACTTATATTCTGAAGAAATTTTCCAAAACACGCTCAACAATATCAAAGCGGGAGTTATCGTTAACGAAAATTAATTAACAGCTTAGATACGAAGAGATACGAAGACACTGTGATCATAGCAACGAGTATAGAAGATCTACAACATCTTATCGAAAGCTTAAGTATAAATATTGCTGGGATGGGAATTACTATAAACGCTAAAAAACGAAGTACATAGTTACAAAAAGACCAGAAAATATACATCACCTATTGACAATCAGCGGTAATGTGATAAGACAAGTAGAAAAATATCAGTACTTGGGAACTTTGGTCAATGAAACCAATGATCATAGAGCAGAAATAAACAGGCGAATAGAGATTGCCAGATCAGCATTTATACGAATGAAGCCACTCTTAACGTGCGAAAATCTAAATTTGGAGATCAGACTACGTACCATTCACTGTTATATATTTTTAATATTATTATATGGAGCTGAGACTTGGACTTTAAAAAAATGCAATTTAAAAGAATTGAGGCTTTCGAACTCTGGTTATACTGCAGGGTATTAAAAATATTGGAGGATGAAAAAATGGCAGAACTGGAGGAAGAACTCAAACATGTGAAATGGGATATTATAGGTATTAGCGAAGTCAAAAGAAGAGGTGAAGATCAGGTCAAACTAAAATCAGGAAACATATTCCACTATAAAGGGGAAACGGAATCGACAACTGGAGGAATAGGTTTATTAGTACACAAAAAATTGCAGAAAAATATACAGAGCATTGATTGTATTTCCCCAAGAGTTATGTATATAAATCTAAGACTAAATAAGAGATAATCCAGGTATACGCCCCCACCAGCGATTAAGAAGAGGAAATTGTCGAAGCCTTCTATGAGAAAATTGAAAGAGCAAAAAAGCAGGAACCGGCTCATTACAATCTGATAATGGGAGATTTTAACGGGAAACTTGGAATAAAAAAGGACGAACAAGAAGTGGCAATCGGAGATTTTTGAATCGAAGTAAGAAACGAAAGAGGCGAAATGCTTACTAACTTCCTACTGCAACACAAACTGTATGCAATGAACACATTTTTTAAAAAGAAACAGAAAGAAACAAATTATTTAAGATGTCACTGTACTCAATAAACTATCAGTAGGAAGCGACCACAGACCAGTAAGAACTCGAGTAACGATAAATCTACAAAAAGAAAGAGCAAAGATGATAAACAGTTGCAAACGCATAGTTTGGAATTCACCAAATCATCCAGAAGCATACATAAAAAATATAGCCGAAACTTTACAGAGTAATAATCCCAAACCTCTAAGTATCGACGATCACAATAAATTAATAACAGACTCGGTTAGAAATGCACAACTCAAATTTTGCAAAAAAAAATTGACACCAAAAGTGAAAAGATTAGCAAAAATACAAAAGCTCTCATGGAAATACGACGAAACCTAAGCGAGAACGAAAAGGGAAACAAAGAAGAATATAGAAAACTAAATAAAAGAATTTCAGCGGAAATTAGAAAAGATGTAAGAAGATATAATACTAACGTAATTACTCAAACAGTAGAAAAGAACAAAGGTTTAAAGATAATGAAAAGAAAACACACAAAGTAAAAAAGAAATATACAAGCTGAGAGATAACGACGGAAAGGCAACAACAGATAAACAAAACATTCTGAAAATAACCAGAAAGTTTTATAAAGACCTCTATACCAGCCAAAGACCACAAGACAATTTCCCGACACGAGTAAAGACTCTCATAAATCAGGGATCGGAAATACTTTTACCCATTACTGTGTCAGAAATAAGAGCAGATTTAAAGGAAATGAAGAACCATCAATCGCCTGGTGATGATGGACTCGTTATCGAGGCAATAAAAGCAGGAGGAGAAATTTTATTAAAATCAGTAAGCGAACTGTTTAATAAATGCTTACATGCGCGTACGATTCCAAAAGACTGGAACAATGCAGTAATAGTCTTGTTACACAAAAAAAGGCGATATTCCTAAATTAGAAAATTATAGACCCATCAGCCTCTTGACACATATGTACAAACTCTTTATGAAAATCTTAACAAAGAGGCTAACACCTAAACTTGATTTCTATCAGCCCAAAGAACAGGCAGGCTTCAGGGCAGTATATGGCACAAATGACCATTTGCATACCATAAAGATCTTAATAGAAAAGTGCATCGAGTACAACATACCACTGGTTCTTGCATTTGTCAATTACGAGAAGGCTTTTGATTCTGTAGAGTTTGAAACAATTCTGGAAGCCCTAAATGAAAGCCGAATAAATTACAGGTACACGACACTAATCAAAAACATCTACGAGAACGCTACATCAAGTATACGACTACACGAAGACACAGAAAAATTCAGCTTAGGTCGAGGAGTTAGACAAGGAGACAATATTTCACCAAAATTGTTCACGGCAGCTCTAGAGTCAATATTTAAGAGCACTCAATGGCAAGATATGGGCATCAATATAGATTGAGAAGGATTAAATCACCTAAGATTTGCAGATGATGTTGTATTAATCGCAGATAATTTACAAGATACAGTTTCTATGATGCATTCGCTTAAAAGTCTGTCTGAAAGAGCAGGATTAAAGATAAACTTTGAGAAAACTAAACTTATAACAAATCTCGTAATGAGTGGAAATATAACTATTGACAATAATACCATACAACAAACAGACACTTACAAATATCTGGGACACGAAATCAAAATAAGCAGAGACAATCAAACACATGAAATACAGAGGCGAATAGGCCTAACTTGGGCAGCATTTGGCAAATTAAGCCATATTCTAAAAAGTTCAATTCCCATGTGTCTCAAGCGAAAGGTTTATAACCAATGTGTTTTACCTGTACAAATTTATGGAGCAGAGACTTTAACACTCACGCAAAAATCTGCGAATAAACTCAGAGTTACACAACGAGCCATGGAATGTGCAATGCTGAACGTGAGCCTTCGAGACCACATATCAAACCAACAAATTAGGCAAAGATCAGGAGTTCAAGACGTCATCGAAAGAACCACGTTGCTTAAGTGGAACTGGGCAGGGAACTTAGCCAGAGCACAAGATGGACGGTGGACAAGACGTATTATGGAATGGAGGCCCAGAAACTATAAAAGAAGCCGAGGACGACCACCGACTAGATGGACTGATGATATAAAACGTGTAGCGGGAAACTGGCTACAAGCGGCCCAGTGTAGAGAACACTGGAAAGAACTGAGGAAGGCCTATGTCCAGCAGTGGACGCGATTGGCTGGTTGATGATGATTAAAAATATTATGGACTGATAGAATTACAAATAAAGAAGTACTGGAGAAGGTTGGTAAAGAAACAGAACTAATTACCACTATACAAACAAGAAAACTGGAATACCTAGGCCATGTGATGAGGGGACCAAAATATGAAATTTTGACTCATAATCGGAAGATCTGTTGGCCGAAGGCAGAACTCATGGTTGAAAAATCTACGTGATTGGTACCAATGCAGATAGATTGATTTGTTTAGAGCAGCAAGTTCAAAAATAAAAATAGTCATTATGATTGCCAACCTTCGTAGGGAGACGGCACTCTAAGAAGAAGATCCATGTGAATATGATTAGAGTGATTCCGAATTAAATTGTTACTATATCATCATCATCATCATACTGTTACTATATCATCATCATGTTACTATATACTGATGTGAAAACAGCTATAAGAAGGTTGTATCTTAATGTCGATTAACTCTTATTATCGTGGTGCATTTAAAATACATTTTAATATTGTCTCATTTGAAATGGAAAAAGTGATTTAAACTTTCTTTTAAAAGTACGCAGAAATATGTTTACCTTATTATCCATCTGAAAATTTAAATATCAAACTCTCATAATTTTATTTTAAGTTTGAAAATTTAATTCTAATGACAAATATACATATTTAATGTATATCCTGGATTTTGCGAAAATTGCCGAAAGGCAAACATACTCAGTAAATCAAATAATACAAACTACAGTAGCATGTTTTTGCTTACCTGCGTAATCATGGGAATTCCCAGAAGGAACATAACTACACAAACTGCTAAAGTAAATAAATGTCTGTGTGGCCTTAGACTTTGTGACCAGTTATCCAGGATACCCGTAATAAACGATTCTACCAGACAGAACTCGCTGTCTATGCCCAGTAACTAAAAAAAATATTTATGTTAATAATTATTGTTTATTAAATATTAAAATAATTGCATATGAGGTTCAAGTTAAAGTATATTTATACATTATTTCTTTTAAGGTTGATTGTATGTCACCAGTGACATTTCAACATCGCCACAGTACAACCAATTATTTTAAAATTGCCTAACGTTAATTTTAGAATTATTTTCATTTACCTACATACATCACATTCTCAACAAAATGAAGATTATAAAATAAATAAATGTCCAAAAACAATATGAAATATTACACCAGTTGTATTTATATTTGTTTTAACTGGTATCTTCATTAATTCGATATTTGGAAAAAGTTGCAATAATGAAGGACCACTTATAAATAAGAATCTCGACATCCATTCTTCTTCTTCCTATGCCGTCCCCATTAACGAAGGTTGGCGACCACATTTCTAAAAGTTTATCTGTATTTTGCAACGTGGAAAAATTTCTTCTATAGTCATGTTTGTCCAGTCTCAAATATTTCGTAGCCATGACTTCCTCTTTCTACCTATTCCCTTTTTGCCATCGACTCTACCCTGCATGATAACCTGTAGAATTATATATATATATATATATATATATATATATATATATATATATATATATTATATATATATATATATATATATATATATATATATATATATATATATATTTAGAATAATATATATATAGAAACTATATTTATCATTCCTCAGTATATGCCCAGGGTATGCAGTCTTGCGTACTTTTATTGTTCTCAACAATTTTTTGTCTCGACCCATCCTTCTCAGCACTTCCCCATTGGGACCCTGGCAGTCCATGGAATTCTTAACATTCTTCAATATATCACAAGTTCGACGGCTTTAAGCTTCTTAACTATTTGCGCTTTTAACGTCCATGTTTTTTACCCCGTACAATATTTGGGACCAGACGTAACATTCATAAACCTAAGTCTCAGCGCAGTATTCAGATTTTTAGTCAGTCATTTTAGTCAGTCAGTCATTTGAATGCATTTACTATTTATTGCATCTAGTAAAGATTGTAGTTCTTTTATACTCTCGACCAATTACCGTGTCATCTGCAAATCTCATGATGTTTACGATTTCTCCACCAATTCTTATTCCTTTTCTTTCCCATAAGGCTTTTCTGAATATGACCTGTGAGTTCACGTTAAAAAGCGTCGAAGCCAAGACGCATACTTGCCTGACCCCTCTCGCAATCGGTATATTATTTGTTTCTATATCGTTCACCTTTACTACTGCCTTCTGGTTACAGTATATAGCCTTAATAAACTCAATAACTTTTTTGACTAAATTGATGTTTTTTAATACATCTATTAACTTCATATGCTGCACTCGCTCAAAGTCCTTCCTAAAGTCTATGAAGCATACATATGCACTCTTGTTATATTCCCGACATTTCGGCAAGAGTGCCTTCAATGCAAATAATGTCTCTCTTGCGCCCATGCCTTTTCTGAAGCAAAACTGCGCTTGATCTATCTGCTTCTCACATTTCTTATAAATTCGGATTTAAACAATTTTTAAGTGAATCTTTAAACGGTGGCACATTAGGCATATCAATCTGTAGTCATTACATGATTTTGGGTTGTTGTGTTTTGGTAGAGGTAAAAATATCGATTTAAGCCATTCCTCCGGGATGTTGCAATCTACATATATATGTGGTTGAGAATTCGGGTTCGTCTCTTTATATTACCTTCATCTAAGGCCGTCATATAAGGCATTTGATCAGAACTCGATGCCTTTTTTTGTTTTGCATTCTGTGGAGCATGCTTTACTTCTGAGGTTAAAATTTATAGGTATTGTTCTTCTTCACCTACATCTTGTTTATTTTCCCTCTCGTCATGGAACAGATGGATTATATATTGTTCTCATACTTCCTTTATATTGCTTTCTTCAGTAAGTATTCCTCCATTATTATCTCTTATTATAAGTGTTCTTCTTTGTCTGGTGTTGCCTGTAAGTTCTTTCATCTTTTTATGTAATTTTGAGATGTCATGTTGGTTGCTGAGTTCTTCCAGCTCCTGGCATTCCTTATTCATCCAGTATTACTTAGCCTTTCTAATTTCATATTGTTGTCATCTTTTAGGTATTTGATGTTTATTTTGGTGATTTTACCTTTTTTCTCCGGTTTTCTGATTTTAATGTTGACGTTTGCTAGTAGTAGATTATGGTCTGTATCTGCATCTGCGCTTGGATAGGTTTTTGCACTTTGTACTCCATTACGAAACCTTTTGTTAATCATTATAAAATCCATTTGATTTCAGATTATATTGTTGGTGTTATCTTATCTGGAGAAGTCCACGTATATATTCTTCGTCAGAGTAGGTCTTAGTATGTATTTTTTATGAATAATTCTTTCTCCTGTCAGTACTGTATACAGTACTCGGCATCCCTAGCGATTTAAAATTTCGTGAAAGAGTACTCATTACACATTATAAGAGGGGATTTTGAAATCTTGTATGCCATTATTTTGTAGCCAATTTTTGTAAATAGCTTTTTATCTAGTTTGACATATTTAAAAAATTTTAGATGTAACAGTTTATATTGAACAATTACATTAAGTCAATATACTGTGATACATAATGTTAATCTATAACAAAATATATATTAATATACAACAATACATGTAAAATCATTCTATTTGTGGGACATTATCAGAAGAGAGTTTCATAAAATTGGCACCAATTGTAACATCAACAAAAGGCCTGATACCTAGGGTGCCAATTATAACATTACAAACAGGTCAGCCACTTTGGACATCAGATGTAACAATTTAAAACATGCTTGTAACAATAATAAAAAGCCCCACGTTGGGCGACAGTAGTTGTAACAATTAATAATTTGGTTATAGGGAGTTAAAAGAGAGGACTCAGTAATTACTGTGCTTGGGGAAAGGGGAGGCAATTTTGGTTGGAAAAATGAATCAAAGAAGAAATAAAGAAATGCTTACAGAGATGTCCTGGGCAATACTACACAAGGAGATTCCTAAACTTTTTAGTATAGGACACCATTTGAAAGATTCCTCTTGGTGCTTGGAAAGAAAGGTTTTTCTCTCCTACAAAATCTACAATTTTATGGGTGAATATATTTGTAAAAGAAATAATTTTAAACTCCTAGTTTAAAGAGAAACATTAGATATTAATTTTTATTGCACATAAACAGTTATTACAAATAAAAATATCTAAACTTATCAACATGTAACATTTTTTTTATTATTAATATAATAAATATTTCTAATTCCTTTTACCCCCGTGCGATACGCCTATGATCGTGTATCGATAGCAAAATATTGTAGATACCCAGCTAAAATGGAATTCCCTAATTAGGAATGGTTTTTAATCCTTCCGTCATAATATTCATTATAAAAAGAGTATAATGCGTTTTGGTATGCAGTTTCCTTTTCATAAATTGGTAATTTTCGTCGAAGGCCCGTTTCTTTCGACAATAACTTAATCCCAAGTATTGTCTGTTTCTTATGTCCAATTGTTAATACCGATTATTTTACCTCAAAGTTTCCAATAGTCGTTAAGGAATTACCTTCTGAGAAACACATACAACTGTCCTATCATTCTTGAGTGGGGGAATATTTTCTTCTTCCTTTTTCAGGGACAGTTGGTGAAATTTTGAGTGGAACCAACTTACTTGTTGGTGGGCCGTTGTTGAGTTAAGGCCAATATCTCGTGTTACGCTTTGCTCACTTTATTTCTTATCGTATCGTCTTTGTGAATTATTTTCTAAGTGTGTATACACTTTATATTTGAGTTTTCTTTCCTTAGAATATATTAAATTATATATAGTTCTACACTACATTTAATGGTTATTAAGTTCAGTGTTTAGTACCAGAAAAGTATTAAATTCAGTGAATTAAGCTGCCTTCGTCAAGATCTGCTGTAAGTAATTTTATCTACAATTATCTGGGCGAGTAATATGGTATGGTACCATATCACCTGCCATTATCTGGACGTATCATCTATATCTTCACCTGAAGATTGCCGATTTTTGAATGTAATTGAACCATTCAAGAAATTTCTATAAATATTACCTATGAACATACAAGTCTCAGGTTTTTATTAAATAATAGTGCGAGATAGTTAATTGACTTAGCCAAGTGCGGTTTGGTTTATGTTTTCATTCTTGTAACCTTTTTGTTTTTTTGTAAATTTAGAGTTAAGTAATTTTTGCTATCTTTTGTATTTCCTATAATTTTTGTTCATTATCTTTCCTATGATTTTTCGAGATACGCCAAACTATATTTGTATACGATTGCCTTATACATCTTGGTAAAGGTATTTTTTTATTACATTATAGCTTAATTTTATACATATATAACACCATTTCATAGTTGTGTATTTTTATTACCTGGGTTGCATTTAGCAGCATCATAATTTTGTGTTTAATATATTGTTATTGTTTTATGCATGTATTTTATTTGTCGGCTCCTAACAAGTTCCCTGATAAAATAATAGCTCTGAACAATTACTATCTTTGAATATTACTATGCTTTTGAACTGTAGAAAGATCAGGCTGATTAAGTTTCGTAGGTAAGTAAGTATAATACTTAATATATTTATTATTTGTTTATATATTGCGTTGACCAGATTTATTTGATAATTTACTGTTGGTATCTTTCCTTGGGTTTGATCTCTGAACCTAAATATCTTTACTTATCTCTTTTCTTTTCGAAGGTTTTCTTAATTTTCTCCTTAACCCCAAACAATTGAGTGGCGCCCTGTTTCTATCTTCTCTTATCTTTGGTAATTTTACCCATCTATCTTTTTGTTTATTTCTGTATCTTTTCTAATATCTCTTATCCTATCTTTACCTATTTCTTCCGTTGGATCCATTCTCGGTTCCAAAAGCTAGTTTCGAACCCACGACTCGCTCTCCACCAACCATCTGGCTGCCGTCCGCAGTGTCTCTATTGGTTATCTTTCTAGCACCACCCAAAAAAGATTTCCGAGGTTACAAACAAACACTAAATAGTAACTGTTATATGTCGAAACAAAATGCCAAACTTTTCTGAATTATTAATTAATTATTAAGATTAACTTTATTTAAAAGACAACCAAAATACGACCATTAGCTGATCCATAAAACTTCTTTTTTTATAACAAATAGCTTTGGCAGAGGCAATTAGCCAGACTTGTTTGTGTTTATTGTTAAAATCGTCTGAATTTTAATTATTATTGATTGCAGATTTATAGTCAAAATTTTCTTGTTATCAGTTATCAATGTTAGTACTACATATATCTAATATTTTTATGGATACATAAATTTTATTTTCATATATTTTTTTTTTATTATCTTCTTTTTTTGTTTTTTTTTGTTTTGTTGCTTTTCTATTGTTTTTTGCTTCTCTTTTGTTTTTTTTTGTTTTATTTCTATATAAAACTTATATTTATTTATAAATTTTGAAACTGAAATGAAAAAAACTTAGTATATTAAACATAAATGTTTATTTAGAAAAATTTAACAAAACTACTTTGCTTCATTGGCTGATTATTTCATTTTCAAGTTACTTTAAAAACAATTTTTCTCCATTAGTCTCTATCTTCAGCTCCCATGAGGGCTGCTCAGAATGAGTTTCCAGCTGAATTCTTAATTTAATCGGACCATCTAGTTGATGATCGGTCACTTGATCTTCTCCCCGTAACGTTTCTAGCAACAATTAATCTTTTCAAACCATCGAACCACGTGACCAAAAAATTTCAGAATACGTTACAGAAATAAATATTGTGAAGAGCCTTTGTTTTTTAATCTCGAGTTGATTTAGAATGGAAATGTTTGTCCCATGAGATGTCCAAGATATGCCCATCATTCTTCTCCAGCACCACATCTCAATTTTTTTTGTGCTCGCTCTCGCGAAGAGTCCAAATCTCTACCCCGTATAGAAATATTGAGAATAAAAGGGCATTCAACACAGTCTTATGTTGATATTTTAAGAGATAGATATGTCTGTTCAAACTTATAAAAATACGTCTCCGAACTTTTGCGTCACGGTTACCATCGTTAGTTATACCCGAGATAGACACAAAACTGTCCACTATCTGGTATTCCTATAACATTTTAGTCAGTTGAATAGTGTGGAATCCGTCGACTTAGCTGTTATTTTGTCTTAGCTTTATTGATTTTCAGACCAACTTTATTGCTTGCGTACTCAACTCTTTGAAGAAGATTTCTTGCTCATTTGCTGCTATAAGTGTCACTAGGTGCATTGGTGTGCCCATTTCTATTAAAATGGACCACAAATTTATCTAGCTTACACAATCAAATGGTAATCAATGAAGCATATAATTATAGGTACTTGAAATTCTCTAGACTTTTCAATGAGTTGTCTCAGCTTCGAGATTTGTTCCCGTGTAGATTTACCCTTTACAAACCCCGCTTACTCCTGAGGTATTTGGTAATGAAGATAGGATTTTAATTTGTTTTTAATGATATGCAACAAGATTTTACTAGCATGTTTTATTAATTACAGTGTTCGGTAGTTTTTACATATGGCAGTAGTTCCTTTTTTGTGTATCGGGATATAAATTGGGGTACACCAATCAGATGATCATTTTTCTGAATTAGAAATAGCGACACAGATAAAATGGATAATATGTAATCCTTTGTTACCTAGTAACTGTAGCATTTCAACTGGTAATGAATCAAGAACATGCTGTTATGAAAGTATATCAAGAAATCGTCATATTCAATTAAGAAAAAGTGTTTGGCACTAAAAACGCTGTTCAACCTGCTTTTCTAAAAAATAATATACCTGAAAGATGCAGTTATGGTGACTGAAAAAAGAACCGAACAACAAAATACGCTTCTTTTATATGCAAAAAATAGGTGCACGTGTTTATAATACATTATAATTATTTGTCGATCATCATGTAAATGCCAACAGGAGTAATGGCAGTTTTCTCAATGATTTAACTACTCCAGTAAACCCTCCAATATAAAAATTAGATTTTTATTTCCTAACATTGACATTTTTTAGGATTGGAATTTTGAAGGTCTGGATTAGGCATAATACCAGATTTAGTTTACCAATTTGATTGAAAGTAAAATTACTACATATTTCTTGTACTATGTGTGTGTATTATTAGTTATTGGGATTATCCCAAGTTGTATGTCCTGAAAATCTACGCGACTGCCGAAAGGTTAATCAAAAACGATTTCAAAAAACAAAATTACAACAACAGGCGTAATATGACCTGTATTGAAAACTGTTTTATTCCAAGTATTAGTTATGAATCCTAATGAGCTGGTGTTTTTTTTTACATACATTTTTGTTGACCACTACATAATCACTGAAAAATTAATAATCTACTTACCAATAACATAAAGAAGAATATCACGGCCCAAAACGAAGAACCTGGTAATCGTAAAACAACTTGGGGATATGTAATAAAAACAAGACCAGGCCCGCTATTGACCACACTTCCTACTTCTGTATTTTGCTCCAGTGCTAAATGCCCCAAAATGGAAAAAGTTACTATGCCAGCTATCACAGACGTTAATGTGTTGACTACACACGTTATCACAGCATCTCTGAAATCAAATAAATCAAAATTATATTTATTTTATTAAAGTTTTTTTTAAAAAAATTTTACTTTAATACTTTTACTTTTTTGTTAGTTGCTCATTATTTATAATGCGGTTAATAACGAAAGAGCCCTGCTGAATATAACAAAATAAATTAAATTGGGTACACGCCAAGTGAGTACAGAGCAAATGATCGTTCAAGTATATATGCCAACTTGATCCAGACTGCTTCGACAAACTAACTAAAACAGGTAATTGGAGAGTTTTATTTAATTTTAAAAACAAAATAATTTGTTAAAATTACTTTGTTTTTAAATTTTGAAAAAAAAAATCGGTACACTCTTGTACTACTCCAGTCGTCAGAGACGAAAATGACACTCAACCTTTAAAAATCATACGAACAAGCTGAATTTTGCCGAGAATATTAATTTTGAGACCCCAAAAAATATGCAAAAAAGTTTCCCACTTTTACCCCCGAGATTCCCCTTAAAATACCTCTCGTAGGGGGGTAAAAACGAAAAAGAATCGATTTATTAAGAATCTGTACTCCGTAGAAAAAATATTTCAAATAAAAAATGTAGATGAGTTAATTTTAAACAAAAATGTTTATTATCACTTTTTTGAACTCTTAGAAACAACGCTTGAAGCGACTGTCGATTTTGAATGTGTTACGTGCGCGAAATTAATGTTCAATAAAATTTTGTATTAGCTCAATGGGAAAAATTCGATTTCTTGACAAACTTCAGCTTTTTCGTATGATTTTTAGGGGTCAAGTCTCTGATGACTGGACTATACTTCAGCAAAGAAATAATGAAATGAGTCATACGGGTAATATTGTAATTTATCGTATATTTAGCCGTATTTATGAGTTTTACCAAAAATCAGTAGCGGAGAAATTATTTTTATTTAGCGTATGGCATATTAAGAACAGATAATTAAAAGTAATGGATTATTAAAAACAAACATCTAATATATCAATATAATCTAACCCTACACTGCTCAATGTATCATATATGAAACATACCGAGAACTTACATGTATAACACGGTAAAATAATATTAAGTCCAAACAGCACTATGTAAGATTATTTGATATATACCATTCTAATATATATACACATTTTGTAACCTGCCTACGTGGTCGAATATTATATAAAACGCGCGAATCTACAGTTATCACTTGCGTTTGCAGACAGACAATTAAAAAAAAAAACAGTTTGGTTTAGTGATGAATGTACATTCACATTAAATAATGAACTAAATGTTCAAAATTATAGGATTCGTGTGACTAATTTTGCTCATGATCGCCTCAGTATTTCACTCTAGCGAAAAATTATCACAAGCACTATACAGGGTGGTGCTTAAATATTTGTACAAAAAGGAACAGTAGATTTTAGGCTTTTAAATATTACGTTTTCAGCCAACTTGCTTTAGTAAAATGTTGATAGTAAGAAAGATACAAGGTATTAAAGTGGAAGTTTCAAATTTTATTTTCCACTACTACTTTTATGTTTGTGAATATTTATGTAAAATATATGTAAAAATTTACAACTGGGTGCTTTTGAGTATAAGAAATTATAATTTGGTGCCTATTTGATGCCACATATGTTACATATGTGGCATAAATCTGCACTTAACTTTTTGCTCTTCAAGTTAGCACTGTGTGTGTCACAGAAGATTAAAGATACATTATTCACAATTATAGGATTTGGTCGACAAGAAATCCTGAGGATATTATTAAAATCCATACCCAATATCGTCAAAAATAAATGTCTCGTTAGAAACAGTATAGTTGATTATTGAATTTAAAGTATTTTAAATACAATTTAAACCAACCCCATCAAGCTTACTCATTGGATTGCCATTTCAAATGCTAAAAAGCAATTTAATACCGATTATTGATGAAATAAATATCAGATAAATAAAAAAAAATATTTTTAATAGAGACAAATATAGATAATTAAATTTTATATAGATGAGAGAACAAGAATGCGAGTGGGATTGTATATTTTCTGGATAATGATCGGAAAATATTTATTTTTTGAACTATACAGCCAATTATTGCATAACATCTCAGTGAATCGATGAGTTTATTAGTGAAATAAAGAAAAACTTGTAGCGTAACAATGGGTCAAAATAATTGCTACCCAACTAAAATAATTTACCTCGTTACAAGTAAATTATATATGGTGCGATATTATATCATATGAGGAAAGAAATTACGATAAAATCATTAAATTTGCAAATAAAACATAACAAACAAAAAAATATTGAATTCAATTGGAGTAATAAAAATATATAAATATATCATTTTTCGAAGTAAAACACTTGCACGTCACGATTTATACAAAGTGACGTCACTTGTATTTAAAATTTCCAGAACATCAACATTCACATATTTCAAAGTTCAAATTTTCCTAACACAGCTAATAATACGAAACCCATATGGAACTGCTCGATCCTTCATAGGCGTCAACACGGTGTAATAATCAGAAAAATGTAATCATCATTATATTGGAAATGTTAGAATTATATTGATTAAACAACCAAAAACATTTGTAATTATTAATAAAATAAATTTTATGAAATAACTCTTTAAGTCTCATATTTAGCAAAATAATAATTTCAATTAAATATATTAGACAATTGTACGCAACTAATACTTAAATACTTCAAATTTTATTGACAGTTAAGCGGGTGGCAAAAGTGTTGCCGCCTTTTTATAGTAGGAATTTTGTTTATGTTTTTTCTTACACACTTTAATCGTAATATAATATATACTAATAAATTGTATTTATTAATATATATTTAAATATATATATATATATATATATATATATATATATATATATTAATATTAATATATAATTAATGGGTATATAATATTTATTTAAAAACTAATTATTGTTGTGTATTGTGATATGCCAAAACAAATAAATAGTCTAGGCCTATAAAACAGCCTAGGCCAGTGTTTCCCAAATAGTGGTCCGCGGACCCCCGGGGGTCCGCGACATATTTTTCGAGGGTCCGCGAGCCCACGGCATAAAAAAAGAATAGGCAAAAATACGTTCACAATTTTTTGAAGTTTTAAGAATTAATGTTTGATCTGGCAACGGTGCTTGCTAACACATAAACACGTCATGGCTTCGGGCGTGGCCTTGCTTCGGGCGTGGCCTTGCGCCTACGCATTTTTTTTTGTCTGAGCTTAGTTTCTCCTGTAACGTGTAAAGTAATGGTAACGTGACAACTTTAGAATCGATTTGGAAGCAGATACACACAATTTTTATTACAATTGTTCGGTTGATTAGTGACTAATAGTGACTAGTGTTTTTACTATGGATCGTTGGTTGAAAAGCGGCTCTTTGAAAAGACCACACTGTGATGATGAGACGGAACAACAACCAAGTATTTCTCAGGAGTCAGAAACTCAACCTAAGGCAGCGAATTCGACGCCAAAAAGTATTGGTAAGTTTCGTGGGAAGCAACGAAAATATAATGAAGAATATTTACAATTTGGATTTATTGAAAATACCGTCAACGACGAGTTAAGACCACAATGTGTTTTATGTTTTGATGTGCTTTCAAATGAATGTATGAAACCGGCAAAACTTCGACGTCATTTACAGCGAAAGCACCCTGAATCAGAGAATAAATCTATTGATTTCTTTCGATTGAAAATGAAAGAACTTAAACAGAGTCAAAACGTAATAAAAACAGTTGCTTCTGGAAATGAAAAGGCCACACTTGTTTCTTTTCAAATAGCGGAATTAATCGCTAAATCTGGAAAGTCCCACACTATAGCAGAGGAGTTACTGCTTCCAGCTGCGCAGATTATGTGTAAGACCATGATTAGTGATTCTGCTGCAAACCAGTTGCAAGTAATACCTCTCTCCAACAACACTATAAAAAGAAGAATAACCGATTTATCCCTGAATGTTGAACAGATTTTAATTGCAAGACTCCAGATTTGTAAAATGTTCGCCATACAACTTGATGAAAGTACAGATATTTCAAATAAAGCAATTTTGTTGGTATTTGTTCGTTACGACTATGATGGTGAAATTCATGAAGACTTTTTGTGTTTACGGGAACTAATGCGTACTACAGCTGACTGTGTGTTTAACGCTCTCAATGATTTTTTTACTGAATCTAATATATTGTGGAACAAATGCGTTGGATTAAGTACAGACGGAGCCCGTGCTATGTCTGGAAAATTAACGGGTCTTGTGGCACTCGTGAAAAATGTAGCACCCAATATAATATGGACTCATTGCTGTATCCATAGGGAAGCTCTAGCTTGCAAAAAAATGCCGCCATCGTTAAAATTGGTCTTGGACGAAGTTGTTAAAATTATTAATTTTATTAAGGCCAGGCCGTTAAACTCCCGTGTTTTTCAAGCAATTTGTGAAGAAGCAGGCAGTGAACACATTCAACTCCTTTTACATACAGAAGTACGATGGTTATCCCGGGGAAAGATTTTGGCTCGATTTTTTGAATTGCGCAACGAAGTGCGACTTTTTCTAAGTGAGAATAAATTTGAATTAGCTGAACGACTTAACAATTTTTCTTGGATGTGCATGACAGCATACTTATCCGATATTTTTGTTTTTTTAAATGGACTGAATCTACAATTACAGGGCAAAAATGTAAATATTTTTAAAACTGACGAAAAAATAGAAGCCACCATACAAAAATTACAAATTTGGGCTAACCGTGTGGAACAATCATCTTTAAGTTCATTTCCGACTTTAGATTCGTTTCTGAAATCCGAGGAAGAAACTTTGCCACAAGAGATTCAACTTATAATTTGCGAGCATTTGCGGAATGTAGTTATAAGTTTTCGTGAATATTTTCCTGCACCAAATGATGAAAACAGCTGGATTAGAAATCCGTTTGTTACATCAAGAATTGAAGAAAATGCTAGTCTTACAGAAAAACAACAAGATCAGCTCGTGGACTTGTCTTGTAGCAGTTCTAAAAAAGATATTTTTAACGACAACGATTTAA